TGTAAATATGGGTAATTCCTTTGCTTCAAATTTGTTACAATTTATTCATTATTTAATTGTTGCTAATAAATATTTATATTAACTATGTTTTTTTAATATTGTTGTAGCGTATGGGATGATCGAACCACGATTCTACTATTATTACAACATCTTGAGGCAATGTGACATAAAAGCAGCTAATTGGTTGGATGAAATACCTAGAGAAAAATGGGCACTTGCATGGGACAATGGACGACGTTGGGGCCACATGACGACCAACATAGCAGAGTTTATCAACTCTGTTTTGAAAAAAAAAAGAAATCTACCTATTTGCTCCATGGTCAGCACAACGTACACCTGCTGCAACAAATTTTTTATTGAAAGAGGGAGGCAGATAGATGCCATGATCAATCCTGGTCATGTATACTCTGAAATTTTGGTCACAAATTTAGAGGAAGCACAAACACAGGCAAACATGCATAGGGTCATAACTTTTGACAGGTCTACCACAAAATTTGTAGTAGAAGAAACACAAAACCCGCGTGAAGTTCGACCAACAGGGAAGTTTGCAGTTCACCTTGATAAGTTATGGTGTGACTGTGGAAAATTCCAAAAATTTCACATGCCTTGTTCACATGTTCTTGCTGCATGCAAGCATGCACACCATGACTTCAACAACTATATTCATTCAGTGTATATCTTACAACAAGTTTCAAAGGTATACGGAACACAATTTGGGTTATTGCAAAATGAAGAATATTGGCCAACATAGACAGGACCTACTTTGTGTGCAAATCCAGAAATGAAAAGAACTTCAAAGGGCCGACCAAAATCAAGTCGTATAAGAACTGAGATGGACATTACAGAAAATCAAAGTAGGATTAAAAAAATGTTCATATTGTCATACCCCTGGTCATAGCAGAAGAACATGTTCCAATGTTGCACGTGCATCTACTTCGCATCATTAGATTATGTTAGTTAAGAAATGTCTCAATGTATGAAACTTAGGAGTTTTTCAATTAATTGAAAGTGATGAAGATATTATTGAATCATTTGATAAAACGAAGATCTTGTGGATTTGATGAAGTCAAAGATTAATCTGATGAAGTCAAAGGTTATTTAAGGAACTTTTTTCTAATTGTTTTAATCGATTAAAACTTGTTGTTATCAGTTAAAATAACTTAGAAAGTTTTGTGAAAAGTTTTGAAGAAACTCATTCTGCAGGAGCTGCATAATCCGGGTTTGATTGTTCTAGTTTCTTTTCTTTGTTTCTTTACATTTCTTTACTGTATTATGGGTATCTGGAAGCTTGAGCGAGAATTGACCACAAGCTAAACGTCCAACGCAGTTAACCACATAATGCAACTTGGGTCACCACATATTTCAATCACTTCTCGCTCAAGCGAAAGTACCCGTCGCTTGAACGAGAATTGACCCGAGATTACCCATTTGTTACAGGTCTCCTCGCTTAAGCGAAGGGTTTCTTCGCTTGAGCGAGAGAGAAATAATCGATCATAATTTTGTATATTCGATTATTTTAAAATTATGATCGATTAGTTCAAATTATAATCGATTATAAATTTCTTCGCTCAAGCGATGGATGTCTCACTTGAGCGAGAATTGACCACAGGCTAAATGTCCAATGCAGTTAGCCACATAACGCAACTTGGGTCACCACATATTTTAATCACTTCTCGCTCAAGCGAAAATACCCGTCGCTTGAGTGAGAATTGACCCGAGATTATCTCTTTGTTACAGATCTCCTCGCTCAAGTGAAGGATTTCTTCGCTTGAGCGAGAGTTGATCTTGCGCGAAATAATCGATCATAATATAAAATAATCGATTATCTTAATACGTGAATAGTAAAGAGTGCTAGTTGTGTAAATAATGTTCCGAGATGTGCTATTTTGGAAAATATTTTTAAAAAAATAATATTATTTATGAAAAAAGTCATATTAAGATAGCTCTAGGTGAATACAAAAAAATATTGTGTAAAGAAAACACAAGGAGATAATTGTTGAATCGGAATTCACTCAAATTATGTACAACTTATTATCTATATATACATGAATTCAAATATCGTTTAAGGTTCAACAAATCACTTCAAATTAATCTCTTAGCACTGGAGTTCTAATATTCCTAAACAATAATCAATTCTTAAAAATGGATTAAGAATCTTACATTAAACACATGACCTTCTACGCAACACTAATCTTAATTATGTTCCCAACAATTAAGCTTAAATATTAATTTGATTCAAGTCGAAATGAGACACCATTTCCCAATGTAAATTTATTTCTAAAATCATAAAATTAGATTCTTCTAAATCCAAGCATTAAAAACAGAATCATATCAAAAATTGGATAAAGAAATTATATATATATATATATATATATATATATATATATATATATAAAATTACATAAGAGTACATGTTACCTTCAATCCAACAAAAAAGACATTAGCAACCCATGGTGAGGAGAAGAAGAACCCTAATTATACAAAGAAGTGAGCTTTAATCTATCTAGCTTCTGTTCCTAGAGTTTGACTCTCCAAGTTTCACACTTCTCTTCTTTCCTTGTATAAGTTATTTTTTCTTCTTTTTTTTTCTTCAATTCTTCATTTATACCTAAAGGAATTCGTAACATTTTTACTCATCCGCTTAGGGATGTGAAATTCAGTCAACAAATCAAGGTTTTTACACCTTAAAGTACTCTCATTCACTTGGCGCTGCTACTATCTACTCAATGCTTTTGTCCTCTAGGGAAGTCATTCTCTTTGTTGTGAATCCACTCGGTGGATAATTTTCCCTCTTGAGAAGTCATTTCTCTTTGTTATGAATTTTCTCAACTTATTACCTTGTCGCTTAACACTTGAAACTACTCAATGTTTTCGTTGTTCGCCCAACGCTTCTGGTCACTTTAGAAATGATTCTTGTTGCCTCAAATCCACTTAAGAGATGACAAATTGTTTAGTACTTTCACTCTTATGCATTGTTGTAATCTCTTAAATTCTTCTACAATTAACAAAAACTTGTATTACTTTACCGTCAATTCTTTGAAATTCAAAATATGCATAGTTAAAAATTACATGGAGTTTTAGCCACTAAATTCTGAATAATTACATAGAATAAATATATTAATTAAAGATAAAAACATGAATTTTTAACACTTATCAAATTTGCATGTGAATTTTATATAGATTAATAAAATATTTACGTCTATTAGTTAAAATCACACACTGATTATATTCAAATTTCAATAGGTGTGGAAGAATTTGATTTATTAATTAATGATGTAATATTCAAAGTTCAAGCTCTACAACTTTATATTTAATGAGTATTTAAATAAATATAAAAAGATAATTCACTCATGTTTTTCTAAATGTAAAAGTAAAAGTACATTAGTAGTTATAGCTGTTTAAATACACCATTACTTATTTTATGATAGAAATACATTTGTAATTAGTAAATTACATTTTTAATATATGTCCGAACAAATTAAGTTAATACCTTTTTCTTTTTTTAAATATTAAACCAAGGGGGACATGTATTCGAGACAATAATATACTATCGGAGACCAAATTTGTAAGAAAAATAGTTCCAAAAATGATAAAGAAAAAAGAAAAATTCAAGTACTTATAGTGAAAAATATGTAAAAGCAAATTTTAAATATTGTGAGTTTCATAAACTGCTATGATATTATTGTTTTGGTATAACTCACTGACTTCTAGTGATTATTTTTGTGAGTGAATTACTATAATAAAAGTGTAATTATTTTGGTTTAAATAAAATACTAAATGGGCAAGGTTTTTTCAACTAGAGTCATGCCTATATTTCCCATGGACAATGACAGGGGTAGGTCCATGACTATTAACCTTCATTTAAAATTTTTTTATAGTTCTCAAGCTATATGCTGTTGGACTACGTTGAAGGTTCATGACCTAAAATATTTTCACACAAACACCTTAAGTTAACAGACACAACAGAGAGTAACACACTGAAACACCAATTAGAATCTATCAGACATGGTCAATAATTGATTAATGTATTGTTTTTGTGTGTGTAATTGCCTTGCCGGCCCTTAAAGTTCCCACAAAACATGTCTAGTTGGTGACGGAAAGCTGGATTTTCACTGCTTAACATATAGCTGCTGCCTGCAGAAATGACCCTTCAAAGGTAGGAATGGCTTTCAAAATGGACTTGTGCTTGTAACTAAGGCCTCGATCGTTGAAATAAAGTATTAATATTGCTGCTCATGCCATGTGGAGCACGATCTTAATTGCTATATAATGAAAATGTTGATCATTACTTCAAAGGAAACAAACAAATCTAATAAATAGGCGTAACAGTAGCATCAAAAAATGATGAGATTGCATATAAATGCACCCATGATATAAAAAATAGGTAGAAGAAAAGCTATTGATTTTTTAGAACAGACATATTGATAAGTTCCATTGGTGCCTTTTCTTTATTAAATAAGAGTAGAAAAGTAAATAAAAACAACCTTGAGATGGGGAATTTGTCGGAAATTTATGGCCTTACAGTGGTAAAAGAAAGGAAGGTGTAAATATAAAAATGTCACCGAAATTGAGGACCCACACATAATCACCATATTCAAGGTTGATGAGAAACACGGCAGGTGAACTTTGACTCAAGTCGGCATTTTTGTGACGTTTAACTCATAAATCTTCAACTCTACTGTTATTTGAGGTCTAAAATACTAATTACATAGCCATTAGCCATTGTGTTTAGAGTTGAAACGCTGAATAATATAACGTTCATACTTTTAATTATATATAAAAGAAAATAAACTAATACACACACATATAAAAAAAAATTCAATGTGTTCTTGGAGTTATTACACGCTCTTGACGTGAGGCTGACAACACCTCTGAATTTTAGCTTATATTATCCAAGTCAAAACTGTTGGTTTCACTATATAACAGAGCCCGACCTATATGGTGATGAGAAGAAGAAAACATCCATGCCATAAAGAGTTTGTACTATTTTACTTGGCAAGAGTATTCTATGGAAGTTAACCAGAGTGAAGAAATCAGTGGCAACAAGGTGATTTTCTTTATTCTGTGCCTTTTGGGTTATTGAGTTTCTTCTTTAAAGAGATTGATTTTTGTCATTTAAGAAAAACTTCCATAAATATTCATGTTGGTGTTCCTGATGTGTATGATAATGAAGCTTTCCTTAATGTTACTTTTACAGTTTTATCACTCCGCTATGCAGTAGAAGTGAATGATAATTCTGGGGATGGTACATGCATGCTAGCTTTAGTTCATAAAAGTGCCACTAAATGTAAATTTAATAATCATAAATGTGATTTGAGTGATCTCCATTTGTTTCATTTGACAAGGACTGGTTTAGTTTCCCATGTTTGAGTCAATTTTCTCATGCTATGATGTGTTAATGAAAGGACATATAGTTGAGTATCAAATGAGTTCTGGAGAAGATTATCGAAGATTAACATGAATGATGGAGGTAATGAGCTGGGTTGAATCATAAAGTCTCTTGATTTGGTTGAGAAAATATATTTAATTCAACAGATCGATTTAAATATGTAATATAGAATGGACTAAACTGAAAAAATGGCCATTTAAATTAAAATTTTAATTAATTTTGTTCTGACTTATTTAATTTCCTATTCAGATAAACTTAAATCTAATCACAAAATTGATACAATATTATTTTATTAGAATATAATAGTGTGTTTAATTTTGGTTTAATAGTCTTTTTTTTTCTTCTAAAAAATATTTTTTCTCTTCCTTAACTGGGTAATTTATTCTAATGTAAATGTTATGTTTCTGTGTGCCTGTAACCACATTAAATTTGAATGGGTATAGATGCAGGCATTTTGTCCAACAAAAAGAATGTTAGTGGACCTCATGTTCTATTTTGAGAGGAAATAATCATGACGTTCGGAAGTTTGTTTAGTTTAAAAGATATATTACATATTTTGTTTCCCTTTTATAATTTCGTAATTTATCTTTTAATTTTTTACTTTCGATAGTCTTTTACAATTATTAATTTAAAGTTTGTTTATGTACAAATAAATACATAAGTATTTGTAAACGTATTATTATAATACACGAGTAGTTTTGTAAAAAAATATAAATTTTAATATGTATTCAGTTCTATTAACCAAATTAATATAAAAATTTAATCATGGTGAAGAGAAAGTATCATTAAACTCCTACTAGTTTTTCTTTAGCACTAGTAAATTCTTTTGTCGTTTATTTTGGTTAAATATAGTTACCATCATTTTAACATTTTTTTATTTAAAAAATAAATTCAGTGATAATATAATCATATAAAAATGTATAAAATTTGTAAAAAAAATAATAATATAAATTTATCCTAATTTAAATCATGTCTTTAAATTCAAATTCAGTTGCAGGGTCGGCAAGGACTATATAATTATAACTATATTTCTTAGTTTAAATTTATTCCTAATTTTATTACAAAGCAAACCTAACTGCAATGATTTCAAAGCTTTAGATAAAGTGATACACTATAAAGTTGGTATACATTTGAATTAATCACGATTTAGTACCATGAATGTGAGAGGTCATAGTCAATGTACTAATATCCTACTCAATCCCACGTGAAAAACAAAAAGTCACGTCTTTTCAGAGTTTAGCCCTAACCATGTGTTCTCCTACATGTGTCCACAAGAGAACTAATACTCGAGTAGACAAAGAAAAAAACTGCATAAAAAGAGGAATATATTTTAGGACTTACGTGCTTTTACAGTCAGCTTAATTTTTTCATTGGGGGTTGTAAGTACAAACGAATAATCATTTGGCTTTGCTACGTTTAACTGTGTAAAAGATTGACGTATGTGTTTACGTTGAATAATAAAGGATAATAATCATGACTCTTGAATTAATTCATCGCAATTCAACTCTAATCATCTCAGTGGAACAAATCATGACACGTAAAGTAAACATTGACAAACCACGAAGAGTTGATCGACAGTGATATTCCATAACATAATTCATTGCATCATTAATTTCCATCATGTGATGTATTTAAGTTTCAATGCCTAGCTAGTTCTCCTACCATAACAACACACCGAAATTTTCATTTACTTTCACATTACACAGTGTGGAGGATATAGATAAATATTATATATACACTTGCTAAGTAACTTTGACTTATGCCTTTGATCTGTTACAATATGCAGGATCATAAGCTTAAAAGGGAAATGGGAGACGTTGGAGAAGGAAATGATAACTTGAAACTTTCATTGGCAAGGCTTGTAAAGGATTCAACTAGTGATGAAGAAAGTGAACTTGTTTCCCTTTCTCTTGGAATTTCATCTACAGGTAAACATGATAAGAAGAATATAACTGAAAAGATCATAGAAAATGAGGATTTGAAAGAGGGACTTTCACTTGGGTTAGATATAAGATTTGACCCTTCAGCTATAAACAATCACAGCAGCGAAGGTATTTGCGATGAGGAAAAGGAACTCAGAGCGACATGGCCACCCAGTAAAGTTCTCAAAGCAATGAGAACTTGGGATAAGAGTGAAGCTTCTCAACATGCTGAAGTCAAGAAGGCTAGGGTTTGTATCAGAGCTAGATGTGATACCCTTACGGTTAGTAATATTAGTATAAACTTGATATATTGAACATAATTCTTCTTGATATTTGACATTGGTTTTTTTTGTCTCAATTGCATTTTCTATTTTCATCTTGATGATTATGTGAGGTTTTATCTAAACATTTTTGACATTTGATACAAACTATTATTGTAGTATTATTTAACATTCTAATTAATTTCGAATAAATAATATACAAGATACAAGGAATTGCACCTGAACTTTACCTTATTACATGAATACCATTTTATAAATTTCATTTTTCAAAATTGTACTTAGAACTTAGTTGAAATTTTGTACAGATGAATGATGGTTGTCAATGGAGAAAATATGGACAGAAAATAGCAAAAGGGAATCCATGCCCCCGAGCTTACTATCGATGTACTCTCTCTCCATCCTGTCCTGTGAAAAAACAGGTATACAAGAGAGAATGGTCACATAGAAGGAGACGAATGAAATTATTACTCACATGCATAACCCATTTTAATTTTCTTCACTTCTGCTTTTAATCTGTTTCTCAAAAAACTGGTTTAATAATTGTCAATATATGTTTTCCTGTTCTCTAGCTTCCAATTTTAAATGGGATTTACTTATGTGATGGGTGAAGATACGATTAGGTACGTAGAGTATAACAATTTGTTTAAACAAATTTTTTCCCTTCTTAATGATTTTCAAATTTTCAGGTTCAAAGATGTGCTGAAGACATGTCAATCTTGATTACCACCTATGAAGGAACTCACAACCACCCTCTTCCTACTTCAGCCACTACCATTGCATACACAACTTCTGCTGCTGCTTCCATGCTCCAGTCTCCCTCATTGAGCACACAACTAGGACTAGCCAATTCAGATACTGTCCCTCTCATCAATTCTAGTGTTCCTTATAACCTTAATGCCCTAAACTTCTCATCAAGCCATCACCACTTTTCAAAATCACCACACTTACACTTCCACAATTCATCTATTTCTACCTCTAATTCTCACCCCACAGTCACTCTTGACCTTACCACTCCTCAAACTTCACCTCACATTGGAAAGTTCACCCCAAGCTTGTCTTTCATACCAAATTATTCATCAACCAATAATGTTAATTTTTCCTCGAGTACTTTCTCTCCTTTGCAATCTAGTATGCTACACTTACCTTGTTATGGTGATTACTTCAACTATGAGGGATTGGTTACCCCAAATAGAAACCAAAATGGTTCCCTTGTGCTCACCGGAAAACAACCATTCCAGGGGCATCTTTATCAATCTAATCACATTAGCGACCATGCCATTGCTAAACAACCTTTACCTGATTCCATTATTTCTGCAACCAAGGCAATCACTGCTTCCCCAAAATTTCAATCTGCAATATTAGCAGCTGCCCTCACAGCTTATGCTGTTAATGGGGTAAGAGAAAATCATGATGGGGCTCAGAGTGCAGGTTTGGACTTAAATCTAGGTGGAGATATGCCATACACAACGAACACAGTTTGCCCTAATTATAATGCGTCAAGGTACAAGAGAATGTTATTTTCTGCACCTAGTGCTCAGAAAAGAAACTCAGTCATATTTCAGCCATCACATACATCTAGAAGTTCCTTTGGATCCTCCTCAAGTAAAAGTAAATATTCTTAGACCAATAAAAGTGAAATAACTATTGTACACATTTCATAATTCAAGCCTATCTCAATTTATAGCTTCACAAAGTTTATAGCATTAATTTTTCCTAGTTGTTCTTTTGTGCTGCAAGGAATAAAGGATTGTTGTTTGCACAGCAAAACTTTATAAGAAATGTTGCTGTAATTGTTAGTTAATTATATATCTAGATTAAATTATTTTCTAGTTTCTTTATTTATTTAGAAAAATTAATTTGGTCGTTCTATTTTGAAACAATTAATATTCAATTTGAATTCTTATTTTTTTGTAAAAAGAACATCAATACCATGATTTCTGTCTAAGTAAATTTGCCACAAAGAATATGTTGGTGTATCATTCAGGTCGCCATCAGCTTGATTTGGACAAAAGGGTAACAATATAGAATGAAAATGATGAGAAATAAGCAATCTTATGTGTTTAATAAAAATAATAAGAATTTAAACATTATTTATCTACACAATGTTTCAAAATGGTCGATGATTGTTGCAATAAAAAAATGTTACGATTTTTTTTAACATTACTAGAAGGGAGGATTTTGATTTCGATTATTTTGAATATTTTATCAATTATAGAATTGAAGTAGATTTTATCCACGTAGAAAGTTGTAATTTTTAACATAAGTGGTTAATTAATGTAGAAAATAATATTATATTCATTGTCTAACCAATTAATGAAATATGCACTTTTTTAAAATAAAAAAATAAAAGTTTTTTTTCTATATCAATGTTTATATAATCAATGTAAAAAGTATAGTGAAAATTACTATTATAGTATTTGTTATGGTTTAAAAAAATATAATTTATTTATGTTGTTACTATCACCGCAACAAATTTCAAACTATTTTACAATCAAATACAATTAATTTAAGTATTTTTTATATTTAAATCTCTACATTATATAGCATTTTTTATAGTCTAAATAAAATATATTCTCATACATTTTCTTATTAAACTAAATAAAAATAAATTAAAAATAAATTCAAATTTTTAGCTTAATAAAAGAAATGTGGAGAATGACACAAGACATAAAAGGTAGACCATGTACCATGAAGAATGGTGATTGAGGGAGTTTTAATGTGTCTCAAAGAAACTACAGTGAAAAAGTACATGTAACATTAAAAAAAAAATAATATGATGATAGAAGAGAATGGTCAACTGTACCTTAGTGGGGAAAAAAAATGCTTGAAGAGATTATAGAAGAGAATGGTTGACAATATCTAAGTGAAGAAAAATGCTTAAAGAGATGATAGAAGAGAACGGTTGACAATATCTTAGTGAAGAAAAATGCTTGACGACATCACAATACAGGGAAACAATTAATTTTGTTAAGATGGACAGTATTTGACGGAGAAAAGAGAAAAAGAGAAGAAAAAAAATAAAAAAGGAATTATTTACATACTATATTGGTTCAAAAAATAATTAACATAACAAAATTTTCTTCTTTTATGTAGTAGTAATTTATACAATTCTGATTCATCAATCATAATAAATTAAATCAGAATAAATTAGATTGTGGTAATTTTATAATAAAAACTTATTTTTTATGATTTTTAACATGGATTTAAAATTGTATCAAATCGCAATAAATAAATTTTATATTTAAATCATCATAATAAATATTTTGTAAATTATAAATTTACATTTTTTATGTAAATTTATTTTTGAATCGTATAATAATATGACAGCTTAATATGAACCATATAAAAAGTGTTTAGGTTTAAAATTTTCAGTTTTGTTTTTTTGTCTTCTTCCTCTTTTTTATTTTTTATTTTTTTTTCTTGTATGTCAAAAAACTCTATCCAACTTTTTCTTTCTTTTATTTTATTGTCTCTTTCTCACCTTCATTTACTTTTTTTTTCTTATGCTTGAATCCTTATTCCTTATAATTTTGTTTTTTCTTTATTTACAACAAAGGTAAAATATAGAAGTATTATTTCATTTTTTATATATTAGTTTATATTTCCTTATTTGATTTAGTGGAGTATTCTAATATATTATATTACAATTATTATTATGAATTTTTTTCTTTTATGAATGATTTTTCATCCAATTTAAATGAATATATATATATATATATATATATATATATATATATATTGTTTAATTATTTTTTGTATGTGGTAGTACTTGTGTTTAATTTTTAAAATTTGTTACATTAAAAATATTTGATAAAATATTTATGAGAACTATAACTATAAAAATATTTAACACAAGACTTTTTATAATTATTATGTTAATAATCAATATAATAAATACATATGTCGGTTATTTAATAACTATCATAAAAAATATTATATTTTATATATTGTTGATTTATAATTGACGTAAAAAAATCTAAAATAATTGTTATAAAAAGACTTTTATTCATTAGTGTTTTTATTCTTTTGAACCAAGGTATAAAATATATATTCCATTAATTCTCTCTGTAATGGTATCTACTTTTTACTTTGGTTCATAAGTATTTAAGAAATTGTCACCATGTTAAAATGTTAAAATGTACATCAATTTCTCTAAACTCAATGTGAAATAAATCACCTAAAATCTTCATTTTCATTAATGAAATTCTCAATATGTATAATAATAATTAATAGTTATAATAATTCATATAAGTATTACCTTTAAAATAATTAATAACTGATTGTTGAGAAAAAATAACTATAGATTTTTAAAATGTTTTAAACTTTAACTAAATTTTCTTTCATTTATCTTTCTTTATCTTGGTCTCCCTATTCTAAATTGTTATAAGATATCATTGTAACTTCTGTATATAGTTCGTAAAAATGCGTTACACCTATATAAAAGTTCAAATTATATTATTGTTTCTGGTGAAAATTTGATCGATTTCGATTTCTCCAAGACTTAGGTTCTAACCAAATTTCAACCACGTAGATTCTTTTTATTTAGGCTAGCAAACGGTTTTCAATCGAAAAATGCATGAGAATCGAAAATCCCATGGTTTCGAAAAATGCAAACAACACAACTTAGTGTGCAAATCAAAAGTACTATTTTTGGTATTTTTTATTAAGAAACGTGAAGTAAAGAAGACAGTAAAAAATGTTGAATCGAAAAGAGGTGCAGAATATTAAATTGCAGAGAAATATAAAATGCGGAAACCTCAAATTTGCATCAAGTGTAAATGACAAGGAATTGAAAATTGCCGAATTGTAAATGGGCAGGAAATCGAAATTGCAGAAATGTAAATGACGAGGAACTTAAACGTATAATATTAACTTGCATAAAAGTAAATGAACGAGGAATTGAAAGGACAGAAACTTAAAGTTGATAAACATAAATTGCATGAAAGTAAATTACCAGGGAAAGTAAAGAAAGCGATAAAGGCAATCAATGAAAATAGAAATCCAGAGCATTAGAAACTTCATGATGCGTCGTTCTCCTGTAGACTGTTCACTTGCGCTTCTGTTGTCTCTGCCAATTCCCCCCCTTCCTCAAGTCTTTGCTCTATTTATAGAGCACCTTTCAAGTAACCTCTTAAAATCAGTTAACAAAACTGCCACCACGATCCAACATGCATGTCCCTTAGTTCTAAGGTTTAGAAAACTGCATTTCACGTTCCCATGCATGAGATAACCGCTCCCTTGATCTTCGATCTCTGCCACAGTTTAGAAACTGTTTCCCATGTTCTATGTGCGCGTTAACCGTTCCCTCGATCTCGATTTCAGACATCGAGTACTTTGAATTGCTTTTGATTCCCTTTAATCTTAACATTACACTAGATTCTAATTTCTCGATTCTCTTCAACAATAGACATCGAATATTCTTCCTTCGATTCTCGATTCTCGATTTATATGTGTTTTTATCTTGTGGTTACCAGGTGTCTTCTGCCTGTCTCTTATCAATTTTTTAACCAACCGTATAATCTTCGATATTCCTCTTTCTTGTTTATCGATCCTGGTATCGATTTTTCTTTACTAACAAATGCCCCCCTGGAAGAATATAAGTATTTGTATCAATTTTTTATATTCTTCCAGAATATGACTCCGCCCTTAATCGTTCTTGAAACTC